GGAAAATTTTCTACTGTTTGTTTTCATTTTTCATTGGAGGGGGCCAGGGTATCTTGGCCCCCCTGGGTGTGCCACTGATACTTGCATTGTATTTTGCTAAAAACTATTTTCAAGGAAACACTAGATGTCTATCATCACAGAGGGTTTTTCTGTTATCTCATTTTGAAGTATTTCAACAGCTTTAATTGATAAGGCATTATCTGTATCTTAGTGTTCTAATCTTATTCTAAATTCTATATTCTTTTTTTAATGATAGGATGTAGAAAAACTTCATTTAGTAATTGGTTTCTCTTTTATTGTTACTAAAAGGATAAAGATTTTATATGTTTCATTTTCAGGAAAAATTTTTCAATGTTTCAAAGTGGAATTAATACTATAAGTTACCTTTTATTAACACATGCACTAAAATTGTATTACGGATGGACCAATAAACCATATTTGCCATTATAAATGTTCTTAAAAACATTTAAAGCCAAACAAAAGACTTGATCAAATCCTTCCATCATTTGGCTTCAAATTAGATTTCCTCTTAAGAACTGCTTTTTGGGTGTTTATATGATATTGTTGTTAAATTATGTTTTATTGTTGAGTTATAAGTGCCTTATTTCAAAGTTCTGAACAGAAATTACAGTAGAGCGTCGTTTATCTGAATCAATTGGGGACTGGGGTGGTTCGGATAACGAATCATGTGGATAACGAATCATGTACGAAAAAATATATTAATTTATCCCATGTTGAAATTTCTCTTCGTTGCGTGTCGCTTCGCGTTGAATTTTCGTCGATGTTAAGCCTAACAAAGACTATTGTATCGTTAAAAATTATTTTTTTATTTTGTACAAACAAAATAAATTTATTGAAAAATATAAAAACAATAAAAAATTATACTTCAGATGTTAATTTAGTATCAAAAACGTAAAATATTTGAGTAGCCTGAGAAATAGCCGAAGATTGCAGTGCCACAGCACTAGTGAAAATTTAAATTTGCCGACTGGAATGCTTTCGGATAACGGACGTTTCGGATAACCAGCTTTCGGATAAACGACGCTCTACTGTATTATCTATAAAAAAAAAACTAAGGGTTTATAATTATTTTATTACTTTCCCTTCTAGCGTATAGAAATCCTGATTTTGAAACTGGTTTGATTGTCTGCCATGAGTGCTTGTTAGCAAAGATTGAAACAGAGCATGTTGTTATATTGGAGTCATTTTTGCTGCATACAAATTCAGAAAGTATTTTTTAACCTGGCTTTGTGGGAAATGATGGAATCATCTCACCCATTACTTTCTTTGGTTTACCTTTGCCATTTCATTTGTGTCCTAGCAGTGTCAATTCACTAGGTGCTAAAATTGAGTATTCTTGCCTGAAAAGTTGTAATTAGACATAAAAAAATTGATCTATTGGACATAACCAGTTGTACCAGACTCTTGATGTATCTGTTAGTGATAAACTGTTATTTTGTTAACTTCTGTATTTTCTATTCTTGAAATATCATGTACTGAATTTGTATTCTTAGTTTTATGCTAACTTACCTAGATTTGTATAGAACTTAACATAAATTATGATTAGTTTAAAATTTACAAAAGTTAACAGAAGAAAACACAGGGCCTCTTCATCTTTCTTCATTCTACATCCTTTTCACACGTCAGGAACAATTTTTTTACTTTTACATATTGAGCCTACAATAAAAAGTCCAATCCACCAAAAGACTGTTTCTTCCTGAGGTGTGAAAAGAACATAGAATGAAAAAAGATGGCCCTGTATTTTCTTCTGTTAACTTGTGAAAAGTTTTTAAAAATTTTCTTGTAAATTTTAAATATACAGTAGAGCGTCGTTTATCCGAATCAATTGGAGACTGAGGTTGTTCGGATAACTTATTTTTTGGATAACCGATTATGTACGAAAAAATATATTAACCTATCCCATGTTGAAATTTTTCTCCGTTGCATGTCACTTCGCATTGAATTTTCGTCGATTAAGCATAACATAAACTTTTTAAAATAATAATCGTGGCTATTGTATCGTTAAAAATTATTTCTTTATTTTTTACAAACAAAATTAATATATTGAAAAATGTATAAACCAAAAAATATATACTTTAGAAGTTGATCTAGTATCAAAAATGTTCAATTCAGCATGACACAGTCCTCAGAAAAACATCACACAAAAGTGCCAGTGCTGCCAGCTAAAACACACACCCCAACAAAAAAAAATTGGAGTAGCCCAAGATATAGCCAAAGATTCCAGCGCCACAGCACTAGCAAAAATTTAAATTTGCTGACTGAAATGCTTTCGGTTAACTGACATTTCGGATAAACGACGCTCTACTGTAATATTGTTCTGGCTATTTACTAGTTTTATTAATATGATTATTTTATTAATTATGCTTTGGTTGACAAACTTCATTTCTTTTTTTTTATTGTATACATAATTTATTTACAAAATGTTTGGTTTTATTTATTTATTTCCAAATTACTATTTTTGGCTAAGTTATTGTTGGCCACAGAGTCATGGCAATTGTTGGCAATTAGTATTGTATCTGTCATTATCATTGTCCATGATGGAAGATGATGATACATCATTGTATAATCACAATCATAGCACAAGAATATTTTATTCTTTATTAATAACATAATAACACTACACTAAAAGAGCATTTTGTGAATGAAGAAATTAATTTTTATGATTGTTCTTCTGTTTTTTTTTTATTAATAAAAATTGGAGGGTTGAATTCTAGAGGACAAGTTTATAAAAGTATTTCAGAGATAATGAGATGTTTAGGAAATAATGTTTGACAAAATTTCAGAAAATTGCAAAATACCCCAACTGTATATTATATATAATTAATTGAATCATCTTTTAACACTAACTTGTCTTTATTCATTTATTTAAAAATTTTTAAAGTTTTTTTTTAATTTACAGGATATAAACTGGATTTGATTTATTTTTGAAATGAAATAAAACAAAAAAAATTTCATTATAAAACATAATATTTTATTGTGACAACATTTCAGACATCAAATGGAAAAAATAAACAATGATTAAATATAAACCTAAGTTATTTTTAAAATGTTTATTTGTATTAAAAAATATACATAAGACAAATCTAATAAAATACTTATTTATCATCATGATGGTTAGTTGAACAAATAGAATTGTTTGACAGCCTAATATTTGTGATTATTGGTAAATGTTTAAAATATTTATGATGTATAGTAGAATATATGGTAACACAGCCAAAATATTTATTTTATTGCAATGAAGGTCAGACGGAGGTTTGGGTAACATACCTGGCACTGCAACCGCAGGAGTTGTAGGTTTGAGTCTCACTTTCAGGCTGATTCTTTTCTTCCAGAACCTTCTAAGTTAATTAATTGAATATCATTTTAATTATAATTAAACGTAATAAGAGTTGGTACCTAACACCTATTTCTAGGCCAAATTACTTAGCATTTAATTATTAATAGTAGCAGCAATATAGCCCAATCTTATCCAGCTTTAATATAACTATTGGGCTTACAGATGTTTATATTTAGATTTTGACTAATATTAGCCAACAGTTGCACATTACATCTAATTTATTGCTTTTTAAATATATTTCACTGGCATTGATTTTGTTCATTATGTGTGTTTTTGGATTTTATTATAAATGGATTTTTTTCTTGTATCAAAGCCAACATATATTCAACCAATTCAATTTATAGCCATCTACAGTAACTTTTTCGTTAATTATTGCATCTCTTAATTATTTTGTGAATAAGTAGGTATCTCTAGAAATTATCTGAACCTGAAATTGAGAATTTTTAGTGTTTTGCTGTTAATATAATATCTTTTCAATCACTGGGAGTAAAAACCTTAACTTACTTGAGAGTAAAAAGTTCTCACTTCTTCAGTGAATTGATTCAATTATTGATTAGCTACTGGATATATAATTTATTTACAATTGACTTACTTTTAAAAATAATTTAGAATATTAAGAGATGTTCATATTTTAATTTTTTGAGATTTATCTTTGTGATTCCTTTGATTCTTTGAAAGATAATCAGCTTGTCATTTGACATTTGTTTACAGTTAAATTTAGTGCATTTTTTTTGTTATTAGTAAAATTGTAAAATTTATATTTAAAAAATGTTTTAAAACGAATTTTTATGCTACCTTTAAATAGTATGTGTATAACTGAGTCAATCAGAAATAATAAAGTTTACTTGCAAAATACAATAAATATACTATGATTTATTTCAAAATATTTTGAATAATAGAATACAATGTGTGTTCAATTATAAATAAACAAATATTGATATGTTTATAGTAGCTAAAGATATTGAAAGTTAGATAAATCTTTTAATATCTTTTATACTTCTATTTTAACATATCATCATGATATTAATAAATATATTTAAATTTTATTTATCAATATACAAATACTAAGCATTACAATTTTCATAAACTTAGTGATTATTAAATATAAATATTTATAAAAAATAATAAATTTAATTAATAAATTATTCAAATTTATTTGTTTGCTTAATTTATTGGTTATCAATAAATGTGAAAATTAATTATTCTAATAATTATTTTTAACTATGAGTAATCAGTTTGTCAGAAAATCTTTACTGAATAATTTGTGCAATGATTAAAAAAGGGGATATTTAGATCTTTTCAAAAACGAATTTAATTTAATATAATATGGAAATTAAAATATTTCATTACTTATAAATGCTTTTCCTTTTGTCGTTTAAATTTTGATATTGAAAATTACATTGATTTCAATGATCAGTTTTGTTAAAATATTTTTATTGATATAATTATCTTTGAATGGATTTTAGATATTATATTTAGATTGATTTTAATTAAAGATATAATGATATTGATGATTTAAATTTAAATGTTAATTAATTGGATGCATTCATATTTGAAATTAAATATAATAATTGTATAATATTTTTATTAATAAAATTTTTGATTATTCATTATTTGATATAAATATTATTTTTATTTTTAGTGTCTGGTCCTATGTGAGGCCATGATCCAGGGCAGTGGGGAGACTAATCAGGAAAAAAAAACTCAGCAGTCTCAACATGATGAAATTTATGTTAATGATCAGCAATCAGATCTGAGTCAAATTGAACATTCCTTAACAACAGAACAAATTCTTTCTCATCAAGTTTCAGCATCTCAAATACACTCATTTGATCAACATATTGCTTCATCCCAGCAAAATTTATCAGAAAGAAATTTGAATGAATCATCACTGTCAACTACAAATGTTGAAGGTGCTGTAAGTACAGGAAATGCTATCTATCAACACTACCTCATTCCTAGTGTGTCCTTGGGTGGACAAATTCAAAATATTGCCATTCCATCTGAAGTGGCAAGTAAGATATTTTTTAATATAAAATGAAAACAGTTTAACATTTTATATTAATTTGTTTAATTGATTGTATAAAATCGTTGTTGTGAATTTATCTGTTAACTGAAATTACAACTATAATTTTCTTGTTTTCTAATTAAGATATTTTATGTTTGAAAATCTTGCCCTTATATTATCTTTCTGCTATATGACAGTTTTTATTTATTTATTTGTTACAGGTAGTGTTCTAAAAGAACATTTGCAAACTGCCCCAATGCAACAAACCCACATTTAAAAACAAAAACAATAATAGCCATAAAAACATAATAAAAAAAGATAAAATTTAATCAAGGCAATATAAGATTTTCTAAGGGCAATTTTAAAAAAAATTAAATTCTGATATAAATCAGATTTAACTTCTTCCACTGACGTGATTACTCTGTACCTAAAAGCACATTGAGTATAGATCGAACAAACTTGCGGAGTAAATAAAATGCTATTATTATGTGAATAAAATGGAGAAGTTTTATATAATTAGGAAGTAAACATCCATTGAAATATTTATTTATAAAACAATAAAACTATACATTTGAACAAATGTGGAAATTCTAAATTTACTATGTCTCAACATACAAAAAGTATAGTAAATAACTTTATTTATTAACAAGTATACCTCATGAAGTGAGGCTTAAACTGTTTCTAAATTTGATCAAAAAGTCATAGCTCATATAGGTAGACAGTCTACTAATGATTGAAAGTTAGCATAGAAAAGAATAGCTGTAGAATAGCTGATATGCAAACTTGTTTGTTGCAATGTTGAACTAAATTAATATGATTGTTATAGGTTTATCAATTGACTGTGCAATCCTTTTGATAATTCTCAGATACATAATGTTGGATTTTTCATTTAATGAGATGCTAATGAAAAGTGAGATATTTATGCCACTTGTTTTCAGCTTCAAACTGATTTCAAGTCAGTTTTATGACAGATTATCACACATATAAGAACATCATGATTATTTTTGTTAAGTTATTGAAACTATAATTATATCTATACATAAAGATATTTTTTATATTTCTTATTAATTCATTGCTAATAAAAAAACATATTAGATTGTTTCACAAAATGTTTAAACAACATATTGCGATTTTTTTTGTAAACAAACTTCTGAACAATAGTTCATAGAAGGTTAGAGGAAATATTCATTGGTTTTTTAGAAGCTTATCATGAGTGATATCACAAGCCACAATTTTATGAGATGGTTGAAGAAAAATAATCACATGACTGCAGAAAGCTCTTTTGATGTCACATCAAAAGTACCTTGTATTCAATTTGTATTTGGCCTTAAGTACCTGACTTGATGTTATTTTTTGTAATTTTGTCATAAAATACCTCTCCTTATAGACACTTTCTTCTCAGTGTAGTAATAAGTTTGTTAAATAGTAATTTACAATTGAAAATACTGTTAAGGTTTATTACAGATTCCTATTAATTAAAAATTTATTTATCTAATATGTTAAGTAAAGAAAGGTTATACAAAAAAAATAAGTAAAGAAAGGTTATACAAAAGGTTATACAAAAGAAAATGTAAATAAAAAGTTATAAAAGAAAGGTTATACAAAAGCAAATGGCATATAAATTTAGTGTGTTTTTGTTTTTTTTACATATATGGTGTGGCTAGAAAATAATAAGACTGTGATTGCCTGCCTGCAACAGTTGCACATGCGCCTGGGTGAGTGGGTAAACCTTCAACAAGTTAGAACAAGCACAGTGAGTCTTGACTCGCTACCACTATTAGATTGCTGTGAGTGCCTACTGCAAGTGGATGTGTTGTTTGTGCACATTGGGGAAACAGCCAGCTTGAAAGAGGAGCAGCATATCAACTCTGAAATTTTTGGTGAAATTGAAAAAACTGCCACTGAATCTTTGCACCTGCTATGTGAAGCATACACATACATGAGAAAGACACATGTCTTTCTCATGTATGTGTATGCTTCACATGAGAACGCACGTGCATGAGAAAGACATGCGTCTTTCTCATGCACGTGCGTTCGAATGGCATAGGAGATTTTCTGAGGTCCAAGAGGATGTGAAAGAGATGAACGTTCTGGATGGCTCAGCATATCAAAAACCAAGGAAAAGTGGAACAAATTATGAACCAATACTACTACAAAGAAATTCTGGAATCTTTGCAGGAAAGAGTCAAAAGAAATTTGCGACACTTATGGCAAAATGGTTTCATCCTTCATCAGGACAATGCACCAGTCCATTGTGCTCTGTCAGTGAAGCAGTTTTTGGCAAAGAAGGGAATCACACTACTTGAACACCGTATTTGACCGACCTAGCTCCATGTGACTTTTACCTTTTTCCTAAAGTCAAGTCTGCTCTGAAGGGACACTGTTTTGATTCGGTTCCTGATGTCAAGAAAAAAAAGATGGAGGTTCTGCATAGTCTTACAGATGATGACCTGCAGCACTATTATGATCAGTGGAACTTGTGAATGCAGTGTAGTGTGGAAGCAGAAGGATCATACATTGAAGTGGAACACATCTAAAGTTAGTATATTATTCAAGATTTAAAGTTCCAGCTTCAGTCTTGTTATTTTCTAGCCACACCTTGTACATTATTTGTTTAAAATAGATATAAACTGCTATATGTTTAAATTATTATTAATTATTTTAACTTTGCATAAAAAATAAATTTAAAAGCACGTTGTGGGATAATACAGTTGAAGTAAGCAGAAAACATTAGAGTACTTAATACAGCTTCTTGCAAGATACCATTACTGGTGCAAAGAGAAGAAATGTAAAACTGTTGAATTTGATGTGAATACTCTCATTAAATAAAAATTATTTAACCACTGGAAAGTAGTGGGATGGATTTCATAGTAGTCTTTTAATTTTTTTTTTTTTTAATAGGATAGCAGGAATGACAATTAAATACTTCTTGTATATCTAAATGTAAAACATAACAGGATTTTTTTATTTTCAAATGGTTTAAAATTTTGCTTTGAGTAGATATAAGATTGGTAATAGTTAATCTATGTTTAAACATATAGTGCTGATTAGGAGTTAATTGCTATGTGACCAGGAATGTTGGATGATGATAATTCACTTTTTTTTTTTGGTATAGCAGTTAAGTTAGAATTATATCACTGTAAAGGCATGTGATTTTGATTTAAGGTTTCAGAAATTGAAAAGATTGTGGAAAAAATAGAAGATAAGTTTTTAAATATAATGCTTGGAATTTTCTAGACTTTTTGCTAAACTTTTGACTTCTTGTATATCTTATTTAATTGCTAAGAAAGAGATATGCAGAAATGAAACTGAATCACTGGAAAATTAATGAGAAGAGAAAATGTGATGAAACATTAAAATATCTAGTCTTTAAAGAGCTATAAATATAATGTACAGAAACCATCTTTGTCTAGAAATATCCAATTTTCTACAGTTTAGGAATTCATCTATAATATTTGAGAGTAGTTGATATAGAAAATTGAACTTTTGTAAAATAAGTGAATTTATAAGAAAACTAATCTAATGAGCAAAGATAATTGCAGTTACTCTCCAACTAACTGAATATCACATTGGAATCCTAACTAAGTTGGATTGAGTTTTCATCAGATTGCATACCAAATTCAAGTGTATCTCGATTAAACTTGAAATCCATTAGTGGGGCTATGATTACTCTACAATTTTTATATAATACTAAGTCTAAAAATTATTCCATGAATAGGAAAGGTTATTAGCTATTTCAAATTAAAAAACAAAAAACATCATTTAAAAATACATCAGCTAAATCCAATTTGACATAAACAGGCCTGGGGACCTATTTTGAGCTCTTCCGATAACTCAACAAGAGTGATACATGGGACATTCGATAAGTCTCCTTAGCGAAAGGCGAATTAATGAACCTTAGACAAATTGCTATTCTCTGGTTCATGTTAAGTGGGTTTCACTACATGTAATTGTTTGAGATGTGTCTGGGTTTATGCTATCTATAGCTGTTATGCTTTAATCAATCACAATTTAGTTAACATTATCTTTTTGTCATGTGACTGCAACCCACCGTTTTCCAAGCAAAACACGTGGTTTTAGTATTCTGTAGCCAAGTTTTTTTTGTGTTAAAATGCCATCAAAGAACAAACAACATAGCAAGCAAACTACAATTTGTCAGTTTGAGATATTAATTAAAACACTGCAACTTTAGCCAGGGCTGGATTTAGGCATTTCGAGGCCCTTGAAACTGTGTGAGGTCCCTAACCATCCCTTTACAGTTTTAAAAGTCAATTGTATAAAAAAGAGAATTAATATAAACATATTAATTTTAATAAATGTTTTATTGTTAAAAAGTATTTGCAATATATTATAAAATAAGGTACAATTTAAAAAGGAAAACACCACTAAAAATGTTTTTGCTATTTTTTGATGGCAGAAAAAGCTACTGGAAGCTTAGAAAAGCTACCTGTAAAAATCAAATGAATTTTATATTAAAAAGAAGAAATCACTAAAAATGTAATAAAACAATATTGGTTATTAATATAATTAAATACTACACAAAATAAAAAGTAATGTATAATTTGTTAGTTTGTGAAAAAAATTTATTACAAATTTTGACTTCAATTTTCTTTTTTGTTGAAAATTTTGAGCTTTCTTGAAACTTGAAGCCCTAAGCTATAGCTTACATAGCTTATTCCTAAATCTGGTCTGGCTCTAGCTTTTTCTCGTAATTCATTGCATAAATGTAATAGTAATGGCTTCGGAAGACGACAAAGTTCTTTAAAGCATGTATCATTCAGCCGAAAAGCATTATCTTGAAGATGAAAAACAGATTCATGATTCTCAATATTTCAATTGCTTGTGAAGTAATATCATCCTTACTCCTAAAGTCACCATGTTTTTTTACTTCTGTTATGTTCCTAATGGCACCTCAAGAATGATCGATAAGAAAAGCTTAGTTATCGCATGTGTCTACTGTAATCGAAAACAAAACATGCGGCCCAGAATAGCATTTTCACAGTTGAT